ATTAAGTAGACAACATGACCATAGAGGAAACGCATAAATAAAAATTAGCTTTGCATCTAAATGATCTCCAATTCTAGTCTATCCTCTGTTACTATTCATAATTGTTATTTCTACTCTATCCTCTGTTACTATTCATAATTGTTATTTCTACTCTATCCTCTGTTACTATTCATAATTGTTATTTCTACTCTATCCTCTGTTACTATTCATAATTGTTATTTCTACTCTATCCTATGTTACTATTCATAATTGTTATTTCTACTCTATCCTCTGTTACTATTCATAATTGTTATTTCTACTCTATCCTCTGTTACTATTCATAATTGTTATTTCTACTCTATCCTCTGTTACTATACGGACTGCTATTCACTACTCTGCTTCATTATACTATTTCTCTATTCGGGTCACAATATGGTGGTTACTGTTTAAGCAAATATTATCAAACAATTACTATTAGTGCAAGATTATTCGAAGGCATCTGACACCAGCATTGTTCAATGGCATACTATAGTTGTATCGGTGATTACAAAGTCTCTACTGCAATGAGCATTATGAAAGTGACAATGAGTATTCACTGGCATCACAAGGTGGCAACAAGTGTTTGTTGACATCACAAAACAGTTGAAATTTATAAAATCCTTCTATTAAATCAATTTTTCAGGAAAATAGGTTTAAGTTCAATAACTGCCAATGTTCTTTCCAGTATTGATGGGGGGCTTCCTTCGTAACTTTTTGTTTGAAGTACTGTGGAATATCAACATTTTGATTATTTTATTATTTTCTGTTAGAGTTACATACGACATTCATTTTAGTTGTTGCTGCTGTTGGAAGTCTTCAAGTGATGTAGTTTCTGTTGTTTGTTACTGTTCTTTATGATTTTGTAGTGCCAGTTCACAAAATTCAAAAGATAGTCCCAGCTAGGACCTACAGGCTTCATTTGCATGAAGCCATTTTTAATCATTGATCTGAGAAAGTGATTTTATACAGTTGACAGTTTAGACAAGCCTGGACAGGTCTGGTACCATACATGACATCCATATGAAAGTCTAGAGACTAATTAAGAATATGACTTGAGTTTTCAAGTTAATATTTTAGTTTTGTAGTATCTTGTGGTGTTGTACAAAACTACCCACAGCACAGTTTATTCTATGATAGTCATTAAATGAATGAGTAGATGTAGCGGAAAGGGAAGTGGACACCAAATGTAGGAATGAAGGGCAAATAAAGGAAATGGATAAAAGGAAAAGTAGCTAATTCAATAATAAGCCACAAAGAATTCTTTCATCATTTTGATGAAAGAATTCTTTAATAACTTTATTATTATCTTAAATAAATTTAATATTGGAAATATTCTTACATTCCTTCTTATCTCTGACAAATGAAAACGAGCTAGTGATCAATATATCACTATATTGATTATTATATTTTAATTGATGTAGATGATAATGTTGATAATTCTGAAAAATTTTATATGAAAAAAAGAAAGAAAAAAAAACAACAAATAAATTGAAGAAACATGCTATTTGATCTAGTACTTAGAGCAGGGGTTCTCAACCTGGGGAAATCCGGGGGGGGGGGGGGTGATCTTTTACTTTTCTTGTTTTTTTTATTTACAAAATTTTGTTTATTGAATTACGATACCCTATCATTCTATTGAACTTTTTATTTATTGAAGTATATTTCAGTTTATTTATTTAATAATTAGTTCTGAATTAAAACAAATTACTGTACATGTATTCAAGTTTAAAAATCCATCAACATTTTTTTTTCTATTGCTATTAAATTAGTAAAATTCCTCTATAAAAATAATACATTTAAATGTCTATGTACTAATATGGAAAAAAGAATGAAGATTTTCAATAATATCGATATTATTTTTTTGGAATGCACCTTTCCAGTCAGACAATCTTGGAAAGCAGGGGGGGTGACATTCTGACTTATTGTGAAAAGGATGCATTGAGCAAAAAACGTTGAAAACTACTGTATTAGAATATACATCAAACTACCAACTATCATCACAGTCCCTTTACATTTAAAATATCTCTAACAGAATATTATCAGCACAGAAAATGGAAATGCTGATTCTAATAACAAATTCCTGACTGATCTGCACAAATGGGAAAGGTATGACTCCATTTCTTCTCCCCCAAGATATAAGTTAAATGGCAAGATAGACAGAGCTCTCTCCAGACTTTGATGTCAACCAGTCCAAGTAAAGTAATAACCTGAATTCCAAACCATGGAGAAGACAAAAGAAACTCACTATACAGTTTTCTCCAAGAATGCATAGCAATTTGCAGATAATAAAGAAAAGGAGAATCATAATTGCATGTCCTCAAGAGATATGGCATTTAAAAAAAAAAAAAAAAGAATAGTTGAATCTATCATAACATATTCATTTCTTAAGGTATTGCAGCTAATTTGAATCTATCATAACATATTCATTTCTTGACATAATTTGACATAACCACAGTATCTTTGAAGTCAGGTTTGAGTTTGTAACAAGTTCACTGTCTTATGGGAAAGTTCATACTTAGAGATTTGCATTAAATCCATATTAATCAAGGGATATAAATATTGTATTATAATTCTGCTTGTGAGTTAACATGTTATGTTACACCCTGACAATATCTCATAAATAATGGACTGTTCTGTTTTGATAACAATGAAAGACAGAAAATACATATCAGATGCTGTTCAGTTTCAGTGAGAAAAAGTAAGCAAAAAAAGATAAAGAGAGAGGAGGTGATAATGCTCTCAGATGCTTAATGTCTGCTTCAGTGAAATGGACAAAAATTATCAATTTCAAATCTTTTAATTTGTACCCTCTTCTTTAAATAATGACCTGCATTCATACTTATGATTGTTATTGTAGTATTTGGTTAAAGTTGTTAAGCTCAAATATTTAACAAGGGCGGTAGGGGAATTTCCACAGTCATAGAACTCACGAGGAGCTTATTCAATCATTAAATTAAGAATTATGATTAATCAAAAAATTCAAATAGTAAAACCCTGAAGCTTTCACAGGTATTTCTAGTTTACATTATTGCTGAAGAAGAATATATGTATACAATTTAATCAGAAATTCATTGAGGCATTTTTCCCTTAAAGACAAATGATAAATAACCATAATACTTTGTATTACTATTACTACAATAGCAACAACATAATTATTTACCTTACTATCAGAGGCACCATCAAAATCCTCTGGAAAAATAAGTTTATCTATTTCTTCATTCATAGTCAGACCAGTCTGCAATGAGAAAAAAAATAAAAATTTATTTTATATTTTTTGTAAGACTTTTAATAAATTGTGACAACTTTTAACAAATATACATTCATAGAAAAAAATATTTAGTCAAGATATTCAACCTAGTCAGATCAATTCCTTTCCTAAGGGAAAATCTTCAAAGAATTGATAAATTCATTGACAACTTCTTTAATTTGATTCTGATTGAAGGCTTATCTATTTGGAAATGGTAAGAAGACAATATTCCTAGACATGAACAGGGGAATGAGAACACTTTGTCCCTGTAGATTGTTTGAAATTCCATGAAGGTTACCCAGATAGACAAACACCTGAAGAAACCCACAGGGTAAAATAGCTAAAGTGTTGTGATAACAATAAAGATGAGGACATTAGTTCGAATGTAAATAGTGTAGATAATATATAAAGTAAATATTATTTTACTAAATAGTTGAATTTTTCTATTTTTTTTCTACATATGTGTGAAGGCATGTACAATACCCTGCCCTCATCAGCCACCAACCAGGGGAGGTAACACAGTTTCAGTGGTTATGGTGGTACTGCCACCCCTAATGCCACCTGCAGCTTTTACCACCAGACAAGGTATTGTTCTTGTAGACATGTCAGTCTCTTGCGATTTCTTTTACAACTGCAACTTTTCAATGTTGTGTTAAAACTAAAAGTGTTTGATCATTAACCAATACACAACATGTTCATAGCAACTGTTATCAATGACATAGAATGGAAGTGTTTCACGTCGGAAGTAGCATAGTGTTGGAAGCATGGTTTTATTTAACTTTGTTTATTTTGGATCTTGCCTATTGAGCTGTGGTCTGGACATGACGTGAAGCACACTTCAGGTTCCGGCCAGTGATACCCACCTTCAAAAGGGAGGAAATGATTGCCGTCCAAAGAATCCACAGTACACAACCTCAATAGGTAGCACATGACATGACCACTCCTTTTCAATGCAATCTGATTGTAGCAATTCATAACGGTTTTTCTTTCACTCATGCACTTCTGTTCTCCTCCCATGGAGCTATTAATTCTACTAGTAGGACACACTTCTTAGAATCAGACTATGCTACAATATCAGGGTGTGTGTCTGTCTGAATGATGTGTATTGCAGAGGTGTTCTAAGATCAACTAACCCCCTCCAATCACAGGCTCCACTCAGTAGTGTCATGTTGGGAGTTATTTGGGTCTTTCGCAGAGAGCGTTCACCTTCTTTGTAATCTTAGGTTCTCTGACTGTTACAGGCTGTTTCTTAGCTACTACACACTGTGTACTGACTAAGTCCATGACCACTTCCAGCAGTTTATGACGCCACATGTACATCTGTAGTGATTGTGAGTATGCTGAGTGCTCGTGACATAAAGTGACTCAATCACTTTGACATAATGTGCTTACATTGGTGTCACTGTACCCCACAGCACAAAGTTGGTCACATTTGGTAGGAGATCATAGGTAGATTGCAGGAGGATATTGTGAATGGCTCCATTGCAATCAGAGTATTCCATGATAGCTTCATCAGATCAATATCACTCCATATAGTCCAAGCACATTGTTTGGACTGAGAAACAGCAGTAGTTATTTGTTGCTCTTCCTCAAAATTACCAATTTCTTCAATCAGCATGTCTCATTTACCCCTTGGACCCTGATTAGGGAAAAACTGGTTGCTTGTGCTGCCCAGGCCAGCTCAATTGGTTCGGGTCACCCCCATGATCTCCTTGGTTTGCAGGCTGGATTCTGCCTCTTGGGTGGGTTCTACTGTCGACCATTTGATGCCAGTTTTGATATCTTGCTTTAATCTATAGCTGAACTCATCAGCCTAGTTCCTCATCATCATGTGAAGGTGTACCTTCCCAACCTTGAACTACTCCATCAATGAGAAGATGGGAAAATACAGGTTTCCAGCATTGGGATAGATTTCCACTGTGGAGAAGCAGGAGAAACTCCAAGCCAATTACACAGACACTCGTTGATACACTGTTGCATTTGCTGTATGCAAAACAGAGTAACATCATACACCTGCAGCGAACACAGAAGCCGAGGCAGCAAACCATGCTGGCAGCACCAAGCCTTCAATTTGCCAGAGAGATGGGTTCTGTTAATGAATTCAAGTCCATCTAGTGCCACTTTCTGCACCTCTTTACCTCAGTGTCGATCAGTCAGTGGAATTTCTTACAGCTGTCTGAGGCTCTTCACTGGCTTCTCTTTGACTGTCAGGATCATGTCACCTCCCAATGCAGATGTGAATCTCCCTGACAGAGCCTCTGAGTAATGATAAGCTCTGGCTTTTCTTGAGTTTAGCCTCCATTCTCGTCTGCCCACATGAAGAACTTATGGTAGCGCTGCAGCAGTTCATCGGCATCAACTTTAGATGAGACCAGAATGGTGATGTCATCCATGAACACCTTGGAAGGACAAAGAACTATTTGTTCCTTAATGATCACTCCCTTTGCTGTTTCTGTTGCACCCCGTAATGAGTTCCATGGACATAATGAAAAGAAATGGTGAAATTACACACCTCATCATAATGCTGACCTCAAGTGGTTTACTTACCAATGGTGAGCTACATAAATATTGCTCTGAAATATTTCATTATAATTCCTAGGGAAATTGAAAAATTTGAGAGACATTCGAATGAACTCATGAGGAACTGATCTATATGCATTTGCGAGATCAAGCCAAATTACATGAAGTTCAGTTTGATTTTGTTTGGCTGGTAGGATTGTCCCAGACAATATGTGAATGTTCCAGGCATCCAGGGAAGCCAGGTATCCCAGCCTTCAGGTCAGCTGCATTTATGTAATGGTTACCTAGCAGGAAGTATGCCATACAATGAGCAAGGACCCAAAAAATATTTTCCTCTCTAGAGTGACATGGGACGGAAATTTGCAACTCCTTTTGCATTCTTTTCCTTAGATATCCAAATGTCATCCACCAGGCAGCATTCTTGTGGTACAATACCTTGTTTTCATATCTGTCAGATGTTGAGTTACTTGAGGACATTTGGACAATTCTTATATAACTTGTAGGATATTCCATTTATTCCAAGTCTTTAAGGCTTGACCTTTTTAGTTTACCCTTCTGAATCTATCGTCTATTTGGTCACTTCTCTTCTTTCCTATCCCATCTTGCAGTTGCCACACCAAACCGCTCAAGGCAAACTTTGTGCACAACTCTGCAAAAAGATCTGATAGCTAATGGGGCCCTTTCAATGGTTGGTAAGTATTACCGAAAGATCCTGATCGAGATTCGACCAAATTGCTCTGAGGAGCTGCATTCGCTGGTTCCCAGACGTCATAAGTTCAAGCGCCCTATGAGGATGGCATCCCGCTCTCAACCCTTCACTGTCGAAACTCCTAAATGTAGCCGTCTCTTCTACTCCAATAGCTTCATGTCTCGCACCTCTCGCCTGTGGAACTCCCTTCCCTATTCCAGTTTCCCTGAGAGCTATAATCTCCAGCTATTCAAGTGTAATGTCAGTCGACATCTCCAGTTGCCGTGATCTATCCACTACCCTCCTCCTCATCCTTTCTTCTATCACTCCTATCTGATCTTGCTCTAAATTTTCTGTAACCCCTTGCGTCCTAGTGGCTTCCCACCTTGCTTGGTGTGAAATGTTTTAAAAAAAAAAAAAAAAAAAAAAAAAAAAAAGTAACACTGATTGCCTTTGGGCCATTGGATTCTTGACTTACTTGAAATTTCTCCAGGGTTCTGACACTCAACAATGGGATCCTGGACACTGTGGGTGTAATCTGGATTCATAATCATATCAGTAAGCTTACATTCTCTAATAGGGAAATTGCGTTGCCTACACCAGTGTGCCTTATGGATACATAAACGTTGTAGGCTGTCAAATTTCCTGCCACAATTGCATGTTGTAACTGGTTTCAGGTCCATGTCATTATCATTTGAATCGGTCAGATTGATGATGTATTCTCTCTCCTTGCTACAGACAGTCAGAGGGCATTTTTTGTCTGTTGTGCTAGTTATATTTGCTTTAGTAACCCTGTCTTTCTAGGATGCCATCCCAACTTTCCAGGTCACTTTGTCTTTCCATAGAGTTATTTTACTTGTTCAATTTTTTATATACAACGTATGAACTAAATACTGAAGTTTGTCCTATGGGAAGGTTTTAAATCAAATTTTCAAAATTCATGACAAAATTAGAGTATTTTTAATTGATCAGAAATTAATGTTTAAAAGAATGCTGAATAATGACTTGACTTGTAAAGATGGCATATCTAACTGGTATTTTATGCTTCTTAAAATGAATTAAATTTATGTTTGTAAGGAACAACTGTAGAATTTTTTTTGTCAAGTGAAAGTAGAAATTATGATTTTAACCAAGTTAAAAAGAATGTTTTTGATTCCTTTCCAACGTATTTATTTCATGCAATGTTCAAGCAATGTTCAAGAGAAAAAAAATGATTCAAAAGATAATCAAGATTTTTATTGCACGTTTGAAACATTTTCAGACCTTACTTTCCTCAACTAGAATAAAAACTGAATTAGAAACCCATTAAAAAAACAATTTGATAATTTTCAAACAGGATAGAGTTATTATGTAATGGTTCCTTAAAAATTGTTTACCCAGAATTATCAGAAAAAGTTTTTCAGAAAAAAACAGTACTGACTGAATATTGAACATGACTTTTTCAAGTTATGTCAGGTTTAGGCCTGCTACTGGTAACATGTAACCCAGAACAACCTGACACATGGTTAACATCTGAAACAGCTCTCCCACTAGCTTTTCTTCTGGTAAAAAGGGTAGCATATCCCCCTTACAGGATGAAAATGAAGACCTGTCAAGATAAATAAATCTGATACTTACTTCAATTGACTAAGCTAAAGTTATTCCAAATGTAAAAGGCAAAAATCTCTTATGCCAACTATAGCAGTAAACTACTACAAACCAAAACTAAAAATCTGGACAGGGAGATAGGCCTCCAGTTTTGGTCATAAGCTGCACTATGATTTGGTTTGAAGTAAAGAACACCAGGATACAAATATAGAAACATATGTGTAAGAATAATAAATGATAATTATAATTTCTTTTAAAACTTATGATCTAGACTAATATACAAAATTCAAGTTAGTATATTCAACAAGATTATTATGTAAACAAATAAGATTTCATCCATAAGTACAATGAATATCTTGAATTTCAAAATCAAGTAAGATGTTAAACAATACCAATTGAAAGCAGACTAACATTAACGAGGTCCACAAGCCAAACGAGTGCAGCCAATACAGCAGGCCAGGTGTGTGGGCTACCAACAGCAAACATGGAACTGCGGCTAATGGTAAATGGATAGCCAAGCAAGCGAAGGTATTTAGGAATCTCCTCTTCATATTTATCTGGAACTTTGTACTTGTATTCAATATGCTTCACAATAAACTATAAGGAAATTAAAAAAAAATCAAAATAAAAAAAAAAATCAAAGTTTAAATTTAAAAACAAAAAAATTTTATCACAAATATTAAGACATTTAAATGAAATTTTTTTAATTAAAAAAAAATATAACAAAATGCAAATGTACAAAAAATATAAAGTAAAAAAATATTTAATGATTTTTAAAGCAAAACTAATTCCAACTTGTATTATATTTTTTATATAAGAAACTATGTTAAGCAATAGACTGCCTTTGTTTGAATGGTGGATGAGAAAGTTCACATTATCAAAGGTACTTTTTTGTATTAAATAGAAGTGCTGTCCAGAATAGTCATGTTGATGGGAATTTTTCACCTTATAAAATAGGCAGGCAACAAAATAATTCATGTTGAGGAAATTATTTGAACAATAAGTATGCCATACGAAATAAGTACTGTAGTGGGGGTGAGGGACAGGTTAAAGCAAATAATTTAACTGTACCAGCACTTGTATTTGGTATACACATGTAGTAAAGAAAAACCAGATAGAATTTTTTTTCATCCTGTGATTTAAAAAAATAATAAAAACAAAAAGAACGGATCTGTATGTTATAGGAAAAAAAAATGGAAGATGATTAAACATATGTAACACTAGAGTTATATGCAAAGCCATTTCAGGCATTGAGTCCATCTCATTCTCTTTCACTCCCAGTAACCATTTTGCATCTTAGTGGCATTATTACCTTACTTGTGGTGAAATGATTAAAAAAAGAAAATTATAGATCAGAACAAAAATGATCTTGATTTGAGTAAGAGACCTGATTCATATTGGGAATATTTAAAATGCAGTGAATAAGTATTTTTTCCATCTTTCATTGTTCAATGATAAAACTGAAGTATTTATTTTCAGTAGCAATCTTATCTTGAATTTATTATTGGATGAAGCATTGTCACTTATTCATTTATTTCATATTAATTCCAGTTGCTATTTATCACTTCTCAGACTGTTATTCTGAAGCAAGCAGTGCAGGTCAATGATAAAAAAAAACAACTGAAATTAAAATTAAAGAAAAAAAAAAACTAATCAAAAATTATTTCCAGCTAAATATTTGTTTTCTCTTAATAAATGACATTGCAGCTAAAATATATACAGAATTGTCAAATCAAATTCAAATATCATCAGCATGATAAATAGAAGAGTCTTTATACTCTAAAAAAAAAAAAAAAAAAAAAAAAAATTATTATATAGCCATTTAAAAGAATTATACTTGGAAAAAATTAAAACTGATTACTTTAAATCTATTTTTTATGTGGTTTATTTTAAAGTTACATTTTTTTTAAAGATAGAAACTGAATAAGACTTACTTCAAAAACCTTAAGGAAGTCTTTGGTTGTTGGTGATAATAACGTCTTTGGAGTGATATTGCTTGAATAGCCATGTGATGTCAAAAACTGAATGAAAAAGAACAATACATTTAAGTTTAATAATGTCACAAATGCAAACATCAAAAGCAAAAAAGAAAATAGCTTTTTGTAAAACTGAATCTGTAATGTGTATGATATTCATTTGACAAAAAGTGCAAGATCATTTACATCATGTTTTTTTACTTTGCTCTTGCTTCCTTTTTTAAATAGGAGTAGATAGGTTTTTGCCTATTGCCCAGTTCACACTCCTTCCCTGTCTTTTGAACAGAAGTAGAGGTTTAACACTGGTTTCATGTTTAGGATTGGGTGTGACACCCACCGGTGGTCGTGGTCACAGCGCCAATATATGATACTGCGGCGTGAAGCTGTAAGGTTTCTTCCACCAGCGCTTGGGTTGACTCGTTGTCGCTGCCACCAGCCTGTGTCCCGGTCGATCTGGTCGTTCCCAGCTCACTTCCAATGTCTGGTTACCGAAGTAACTACTTTGATCTCAAGGCTAACCTACCCACGTTGTGATTTTGATCTTAGTAGGTAGACGAAATCAATCAGGCGTCAGACCGTAGTGCAAGCTGAATCTGGGGTAAAGGTGATATCGCACAAGCGTAAGTAAAAGAAAATAATAAAATAACTCAAGAGGTTCAAATATGTTGAGAAATAACAATAATCTTTATCTATCTGTTGAATACAGGAGTGTGTTTCTCTTCCAGGCCGCTTCTATAGATCTGTGACGCTTTTTGCGTTTCTTAGGCGAGTTATGGTATCTTAAGTCGTTCGTCAATAAAAACTTGCTTTTGATAGGAAGACGAAGTCGAAAAGGACATGGAAATCTTTCAGTCAGCTTCTGCAAGGCAACACTGACTCTGTAACTCCGACTGTGTCTGGCTCTCTGCCGAAGCTCTCTCAGCTGCCTCGAGATTTGTTTATATGGACACCGACCAACTCCGGGGTAGGGCCTGACATGGTTTGGGTTCTTTGACAATTCTTAATTCCCAACAAGAATTCTCTTTGTTCTTAGGCCAGGAAAATTAATTACTTCCCATTTTTGGAAGATTAATCACTTTCCATTTCGGGGTTCCTCCCTTGTCCGTGAGGGAAGGTCAGAGGAGAGTTATCCTCCTAGACTCTTCCTCTCTCACATTGGTATCTCATACCAATACCCTCAGTGGGCGTTAACAACTTATCCATCTTTCTCATACATTCACCTCCGCCTATCACCCATGCTACCAGTTAACCATGATCTCTCGGCAGTGTGGGCGTGGCTAGACTGGCCCTCTTAGAATTATTATCGAAATATTTGTTTACAAAATCCCTTTTTTCCTTTGGCCAAAACATTTACAAATCCCAGATTGCCAATTACTTTTTTATCACAAACCAAATCTATGTAATCAACTTTTAACTGGGCGGTTGTGTTTACCTGATAATTAAATTCTTTATTTTTCTCATATCTTAAAATTCTCTTATCACCAGATGCCTATTTTTGACAACATTGTGTCTGACATCAACAGTTTGAAAAAATAATAATAACACTTTCATCCGCAATTTCCTTTCTCATGCCAAGATTCGTACATACACCAGATGGGTCTCTTCACTGGACCTAAGAACCAAAATTAAATGATATCTCAGAAAGATAATTAATGGCTATTCTCCAGGGTGGTCCCAAGCCAAATTTCTTCCACGGTCGCATGCGTTGGCTGGCTTTGTTTATCTTTTAGAATTCTGTTTCGTTTGATGCATCACTCCCTTATCGTGACATTAATTAATTTGACAGAATCAGTCTTGCTCCTTCTTACTGATTTTCTGTCTTTTGCGAAAAGTATCTTTCTTTTGTAAATAAAAATAAATTCTTTTTAATGTCGCTCAGTCTATCTTTTGATATAGCTCTTTCTCACCTTAAGTATTTCATGTTTTTAATTTCTATGGTTAATTAGTTAGCCAATTACCACATCTAAATAGTGTCACATTGGTTTCCAGTTCCATCTCCTAAAGTCGTATTTTCTTTCACACTTCAAGTAACCCTTTGCATCTTAGTGGCATTATCACCTTGCTTTAGGTGAAATTAATTAAAAAAAAAAAAAAAAAAAAGGTAAAATCTTTTGTTGCCCCCATTGCAATGTGTGTTTCTTGGATAATTTAGCACTTCTAAACTAACTTCCAAATTGGTTTAAATAAATAAAATTAAATGTTCACTTATGCCTACCCTGAATTTCATGGAAATTTAAATCTACTTGTGAGGTTGTCAACAGACTTCAGAAAGAAATTACAAAATGAGAAATTATAAAAAAAAAAAAAAAAAAAAAAAAAAAAAGCGAGACACAGAGTATTAGGTTCATTCATAAATAATTTCTGTTTTTGCTGATTAACTTTATTCTTCAAAAATACAGTACAATTATATTTAATATATATCAGGTCATCCCATAAGTTCTGCCCGAATTTTAACTTTTTGTTAAAATGAACAAAATTTAAAGAGTATTTTATAATGTCTAACATTATTTTTATGTTTAGATGCATTTAAACTGATCAAATTTTAGTTCAGAGAACAATAAAATTAAATTTTGTTTGATTAAAACCCTGCTAACATGGAAGTACCCAAGAATCATTTGAGGCACATAATGCTTTATAAGTTCAAGAAAGGAAACTCAGCAGCCGAAGTGGCTAGAAACATTCACTCAGTTTATGGAGAAGAATGTGTGATTGAAAGAACTTGCAGAAGATGGTTTGCAAAATTCAGAGGTGGAGATTTCACCCTTGAAGATGAAGATCGAACCAGACGTCCAGTTGAGTTTGATGAAAAGCTTCTTGAAGCAGCCCTTGAAGAAAATACTGCTTTATCAGTTGAGGAATTGGCAGTGGTTCTCAGTTCAAACCATACAACTGTTCGTCGTCATCTTCAACAACTTGGAAAAGTTCCTAAACTTGGAAAATGGGTGCCTCGTGAATTGTCTGAAAACAACCTCAAATCCAGAGGTGACATCTGCTCTTCTCTCCATTCTCGCCAACTTGTTTCACCTTTTTTGGATAGACTTGTGACTGGCAATGAAAAATGGATCTTTTATCGAAATGTTAAGTGTCGTAGAGAGTGGCTTGGTAAAGGGGAAGGACCCCAGCCAAGAAGGGAACTTCATGGGCAAAAGGTCCTTCTTTCAATCTGGTGGGATCGCCAAGGAATAATCCACTTTGAATTCTTACCACCTAATGCAACAATTAATGCTCTAATATACTCAATTAGAGCGTTTGAACCACGCTTTGAGAAAAAAAGACCTGCTCTAGTGAATCGAAAAGGGGTGATGTTTCATCAGGACAATGCGCGACCCCACACAGCAAGAATCACATCACAAAAGATCGAAGAACTTGGTTGGGAGAAAATTCCTCATCCACCTTATTCTCCCAATCTTGCTCTTTCAGACTACCATTTGTTTCATAGCTTACAGAATCATTTGGAAGAAACAGCTTTTGTAACACAGGAAGAGGTTAAAACTGACATTTGTGAGTTCTTCAAATCAAAGCCAAAAAAATTTTACAGTAATGGAATTAGTTAAGCTTGTTAATAGATGGAAGGAAGTCATAGATAATCAGGGAAAATACATTGTTGATTGAATCTGTAATTAAATGTAACATTTGGTCACTTGTTTTCTTTATTCGAAATTTGGACAGAACTTATGGGATGACCTGATATATCTAAAATCTCCAAGTTACAGGGTTGGTACACATGGAATAAAATTCCAAAAACACTATTCTTAAAAGATTTGCTCTATACCAAGTAGAACTAATAATATTTATTCAAATTTATTTTCTATTCAACATCATCACTTAATACGATACCAGAAGTGGCGAAACAAAATTGCAAAAAATTTTTGTAATGATCTTATAACATTCATATGTTATAAATTTTTATATATATTTTCACCTTTATTTGAATCTGGTTTTCATTATAGAAAGCCTTTTTCAGTAATCAAATATATTAATCAGTTGGTGCAAGGTCAGGTGAATATGGCAGGTGGGGTAGAACAGACCAATCAAGTTCTAAAATATTTTCATATTCTTCTTGCTGGCTTTGTGTTGTCATAGAGGAGAAGAATATTTCTATGTTAATCCACAGTGTATGCTGCCACTGTCATGAAAAAACCAATATTAGTGTACTCCAAATGTATTTTTAGACATCATATATAGTTAATTAGGATGATACATTCATTATAATAATTGGTTCCAAAAAATGGAAATTACTTATGATGCAACCTAATATTTATTGAACCACAGCCTGGTGGTACTGATGACCTGAAAAAAAAAAAAAAAAAAAAAAAAACCTACAATAGAGTCAATGAAAATTATAGCTAGATATCCTGCTGTTAACAATCATAACTGCTTATCTATGATCAGTAATTCATAATTTATAAAAATGGTAGTACTGTTACATTTTTTAAAAATTGAAATTTTAATTTTGAATATTATATTTAAATTAATAAGATTAATTTTAATTTATTTAAATTAAAAATCTAAGTAGTTTTGATGAAATGTCATGCTAACACATGACAGATATTTCAAATTCAAATGGCCTAATGATTAATTAAATCACCCCCCCCACACCTGAAGCCATATATACAGGGTGGAGGGAAAGAAACTTCTTATTGAAAATTACATATAACTTTCATTAATATCACCACATTTGAATGAAACAAAATATACTGTGATCTCTAAAGTGGTAGAATGTCATTGCTAATTTCTATTTTTATTTCAGAGTGACAAGTATGGCCTAGAATGGTACTACACCTTACACTGTATGAGCATGCTCAACTAGCATCCCATTATGAAGTGTGGCAGTCTATGGTACATGTACAGAGATGGTGGCACAGTGTTCATAGACCTTGTGCTTCAGTAGATGCCAAAACCATCAGAAATTGTCATTCCAAGCTGATAACTACAGCATCTGTGTTAGATGCCCACAGAATCGGTTGTCCTTCAAAATCCAGATTGGAAGAAAATGTGCCAAAGGTACAGGAAATGTTCAATTAAAGTCCCCAAAAGTCAGCAGCACACCAAGTCACTTGTGAAAGTAAATTTATCCTGCCACACTACATGAACTGTTTTAAAGGAGTTACAATCGACCAATAATTAATAGTTATTAACAATTTTGAATAGGGAGTTTCTTTCTACTCACTCTGTATATATTTATTTCCATAACATATAAAAAGAATAAAGTGAGTAGGTTTTCTACCTTTCCAAATAGACAAAAGTTTCTGCCTAAAGAGTTTTTCTCATCTTTGTTATTATTATCACATTTCAACCACTTGAACATTGTTTTTTTTTTATAAGGTAACACTTCTAAACTTCTGAATTGGTTCAGATTGTGTGTGTGTGTGTGTGTGTGTGTGTGTGTGTGGAGTGAGTAGCTATGGTCAAATACAAAATAAAGAACAGAACTGCCCAACAAACAAAATTAACAAAGTTTACAATAAAATGAAGAAAAGGAACAGGGCAAAAATGAAATGATATCAAGCAAGCAAACAATATATTCAAGGTAAATTAACAGGTAAGAAGTCAAAAAGTTCACAAACTAAGAATTTGCATTAACACACAAAAGCAAGTTCAGACAAGCGAATGTAGTGGTCTGTCTTAAGATAAGGCAGATCTGGCTTGAGTCATGTCAAACTGCAAACTGGCCTATTTTATTAGCTAAGAAAAATATGCCAACATGCATTTGTGGACTTCTGCATATAAAAGGGGAGGGGAAAATGTTCTGCAGCCATTCCTATGCGACTGAAATCAACTATATATATATATATATATATATATATATATATATATATATATATATATATATTTACGACAACATGGAAAAAGTTTTTGTGATGCGTTTCATACTCTAGAACTTCAGACTAAATTTGTTATGTTGGTACGACTACACATGTGCACAAATGAGGGATGCTGGGAATTTTAATAATCGCCAAAATTATATAGGAGAAACCTCAAGGAATATAAATAAAAGATATGAACACAAAAGAGACATTTTACAAAACAATACATCAAATGCGTTGGTTGTCCACTGTAATGAGACTAACCAGAATTCTGACATAAAAAATGCTATTCTGATCAAAGGAGAAAACAATTTACCATGACAAAAATGTTTAGAAAGTCTTGATCACAATGTCATCTACAGTAAATTTGTGCCTGGGCTCTTACATTTCACCATTCTTAGCAGAACTTTTATTATCACAGTGTAGGATATCAACTAACAAAAGTGATGGAAAGAAAAAGAATCTAAATGAAATTGGCTAGATTAAAAAAAAAAAAATCTTAAATTCCCAGCATGCCTTATCAGTGCGCATGTGTAGTCACACCAACATAAAATATTTAGTATGATGAAGTCCTAAAGGATGAAATGCGTCACAAGAAAACAAAACTTTTCCACTTTGTCATACTACCCCCCCCATTGTTCTGGATATAAAAAAATATATATTTTTATTTCATCATTTATATGTGTGTGTGTGTATATATATATATATATATATATATATATATAATCAATAATTAAATGCTCACTTAATGAATGTAAATCACTTAGTTGGTTGGCTGATAACTACAGATTTAAATAAAACTTATAATAGCATAAATAAAAATAATGATTTTTAAAAATATGTAAGAGTAATAAGCTCCAAACCTCGTACAAAATTTTCACACATCGTTGCTGGAAAGCTCGAGAACTAAGAGGTCTTGAATCTCTTAGTTCAGTTCGACCACGATCAAAACCATGTGACATCCTAAAAAGATTAAAAATCAAACATGAAATTAATATTTTGCTTATTGACATTTATTTAATAATTTAATTTTAAATCATTTTCTTGCAAAGGTGTTTTTTTCTTGCCATACACATATTAAATTTTACAATATATAAAAAGAATAAAGTGACCATGCCAAACTGACAAAAGTTTGGTTCCTTATTTTGAAAAGTTGATTCAAAATTTAAAATTAAATAACATACTTAAATTTTTTCTGAATTGAATTATTACTTATGTTCCTTAGTTGATAGAATCAACTCATTGACCAAGATTTAATAACCGTTTTAAAAGAGGTCTTAATCTAAATATATCCCAGTATTTTTTGATAATAATTTCTTTTATTTTGGTATTACTTAAATTTTGTAGATTAGCATTGATCAAAACTTTTTCTACACACAGCATTTGTCAGAAAAAAAAAAAAAATAATGATTATTTTACATTTTTAGAAGGAGAGGGATCATAATATAAACACTGCTAAATTGATGTCCAACTTCTTAAAGAGTTACCTGTACTTTGTTTTTATTTACAAATGTAAAGTTTGAAAATGTGCTGTTTGACTGAAACTTTTTTTTTTACATTTGAAATATGTAGAAAATGAGCATGATTTGATTCTGTGGACATAGGATGGTGTCTTCTAGCCATAAAAGTCTGGAACTAAAGAACAGAGCTTATACAAACATTTGCCATGGAAATAGCAATAAGCTTGCGATGCCACATCTGTGGGATAGAGGCTGCAGAGTGGAATGTAAGCCTTTCTCCACAAAACCACATAAATAATTTTGGTCAAATGTTAGATCTACAGAGAAGCTAATTGCATTTAAATCAGCAGCAGAATGTAGTTACCAAGTTTCTCTTTCTCTCTCTTTGCTTTATACAAGGTACAGCAGAAATACAGCCCACATAGTGGCAATTGTGACTTCATCTAGTTAATGTCTAAGGTATTTGTGAGTTTGCCACACACTGTACATTTGTGTATATATTTATATATACCTTTAAAATTACAGTTTTTAAAGCTCTAATGACACATAATTGTACCTATACTTTTCAATATTGTAATCTGCTCTTACACGTGGTAGCAGAGTGTAGTTACAGCAACAAATATTTGTTTGTTTAAGGACATATCAACTCCTTATGGGCCATTTAATGCTGAAATTTAACTTTCTTGGAAGCTTTGAAGTAATAAAAATATGATATATGTTATTCTGCTTTCACAGCTGAATACATGGTAGATGATACTCAGCTTTTGTGCATATACAGGTTTCTGTGGACATGATTACTAGAGGCAGTGATATGTGTGTTTTATGTTGTAGTTTTGTTGAAGTTATATTTTGAAATACAGTGATTTCTTTAAGAAATTGTACAATATTATACAGATTAATGTCATGAAAGAGTTCTTTCATGTTGGTTATTTGGTTGATTTTGTTTAGTGGAATTTCAACCTCCATGGGTCATTTAATGCCAAAATCTAAATATTTTGAACACAATTCTGTGGCTTCAACTAAATATATTTTGAACACAATTGTATGCCTTCAACTGCAGATAAAATGTATTGTTGGTTATTTTACTATAAATATATATTTTTATTCGTTCATAGTATTTTTGTTTGGGTGTTCACTATTTGCCGATAGTTGGGATCCGAACACTGGCAACAAACGTACCCTAAAAATTCCTCCAGAATTTGATGAGGGCACAACAGATTATGAGATTTGGAAGAAGGATTTTGCAGACTTTCTATACAGATTTGCCAAAAAGTAAATGTGCTAAACCAGTAAGAAGGAACATTTTCATGAATCTAAAAATGTTCAGAACCAAAGACAACTGCCCATAAACTTCAAACATTTTGGACATCCAAAATCAATCTAAATTAATTAACCTAATTAGAAATGCTGGTGTTGATTTAAATGAAATTTATCTTTTATGTCGATCTAACATCAAGGATACAAAATGAGGATTGAGCACTTCCAGATAAGTCAGCATTAATCCACTTTTACTTTAATCTGGTTCTTCTAACAATAAAACATAGCAGAAGGTGTCAGGTATTTCATGGAGCAATAGAATGAGCCCGGGTGTTTTTCTAGCATCTTTAGCAATAGATTATATTGAGGTCTGGAATGAACTTGAGACCTAAAAAGCATTCAAAGAATGGAGCCTCATTGAGAGTGGAACCATTCATCAAGACAGGGTCTGAAATTTTATAGTATTTTTTTTTTTTTTGTTTCATCCCATCTTCAATGATGAGGATCAGGAACCATGGACAGTTGTCACAGTTTTGAATTCATAGTTGTCATTCTCCTAGACTGGCTACCAACCATGGTTAGAGAGCCCCATCTGCCTTGCTATTTAATCCATAGCTGAAGAAAGAAGAGCTGGATCCAAAGGGTGTTTGAGTGACTGTAATGAACTTGACTGGAATTCAATTTCTCATTCTGTGCCACTATCTATTACACCACCTGCACCTCCTCTTGTTCATGCTTCTCATCAGGTAAAAGAAGTGATATCAGTGCATCCAAAATTCTCTTTGGACTATTACTCAGAAGCTGGCTACCAAGCCACAACACATGCACCCTCATCATAAAGACGATTTTATTTTTCATCGCACACACACTGCTACTGAATGTGAAACATGGTCGAAGTTTAGAGTGAATTTACCAGCAATACCATGGAAAATTTGCCCAAGCCCCCTCGACACTTACCCTTTTGGGGACGCAATAAACCCAACCCCCTCCCATAGGAGTGGTACTGCCTGAGGAGGGAAAAACTCCAAAATGGATGCTGTTGAATGATTTTCATCAAGGTGACTAAGGAGTCCTATTTACCAGAGTTTCAAAATGAGTGGATCCTCATCCTCTCCTAGACAGACTGCCAACCAAATCTAGTGAGCTTTGACTACCATGGAACTTTATAGCTTAAAAGCAGCAATTTGTCAAAAATCATAATTTTTGTTTTATTTTTTGAATGTGTTCAACAGAATAGAACAAATCTGTATTTCAACATAAACTTAGAAATATTGAACATTAAGTCAATATGAAAATATGACTTCATGCTTACCTTTTTGACATGTTCCCTCCAATTGAAGACTTTCCAATTGATGTTCGCCCCAGAAGAGAAGCACGTCCATTTTGGCCAGTAGAGAATCGCCCAGAAGATAAACGGTCAGTTGATGGAAATCTCACCATGCCCTGAGGTTTTTTCGCTGAAGATGGTCTGACCACTCGGCCAGGAGCCATAGATTTTCTATTATCACATGAACTTGAGCGCCTCATTTTTCAGATATTCTGAAACAGAAAGAAAGAAAAAAAATTTAAAAATAGACAATTACCACTTTTAAAAAGGTCTAGATAAAAGTTATGTTTAATCTTTGTGCCCACAAAATAAATGGTATATCAAAAGGAGGATTATTCCCTTGACTCTGCTATTATTCTCTCATCAATGTTTATTGTTTTAAAAGGTGATGATTAGAATTTTAATAAAACCCAAGTATATGAAAGTGGATTTATACATTATTCTTTATTCTTAAAAATTGACAGCAAAAAGATTAAACATTTATTAGCTTGCATATTTACAAGAATAATTTTATATTTACTGTGAAGAGTCTTCTTCCTATGTCTTCTTTACCACTTTCCTACCTGTACTACACACCACTAGCATCATCTTCAAAATTCCTTCTACTCTCTAGTAAGCAATGTAGCCGTTTATATAGTAAGCAGCAGATGTTAATACATTTGTATAGATGTGATGTCCATTTCATAAAATGACAGCCATTGTGCACAGGTACAGCAACTTGAACACTCTTTATACTAGGTAAGCCATGCTCTGTGTTACTACATTTACAAGATTATATTGCCACATAAATTTGCTAAAAAAATGTTAATACATTTGTCTAGGTGTGATGTCCATTTCATAAAATGACGGCCATTGCAAACACATGTCCATAGGCCTCAAATTTCTTACTGCAGCAACACAAACATGTTTTATATTAAGTAAGTCATAATCTGCATTACTAAACTCACCCTGATTTCCTGATCATATGGGTGACAGCCAGGAGATTGGGGGGGGGTCGCTTCTGTCTTGTGCTTCTCCGTAGCAGAACTGAAGAGGTTTGTGTGTCTAATGTGGGAGGACCATCAGTTGAGATGAATCAGACAGAGGAAATCTCTTCATCTAAGTTTGGCAGGTCATCATCCATTGTGTCACTGGGCATTTGTGTGGAAACCTTGCATTCTATTACAATTCCTGGTTCTGATGACTCACTGTCTTAATACTCTACCACACACTTGTGTGCAAGGACTCACCATCATTGCCTCGTCAAGGTGGGGGTGAGGACAAAGATCCCTAATATGGCACAGTATCCTGTTGACCAGAACTGAGCATAGACTGTGGTGTCCAGTTACCACTCCCTTTCCAAATTTGGACATGAAGATGGTGCGTGGAGGCCTTTACCCACACTACATCTCCAATTTTGTAGGTTGCATTCCCCTTGCATACTGGTGGAGATGCAACGTCTATCTCTTTTACCTGCACTTGGTAGGTGTAGATCCTATTTGCCAGTGCTGTGGAGGCTGATGTATCATCCTTCGGTGTTATATTGTAGAGATACACCACCTCTTTCACAGGACACTGCTTTCTGGCAGCAATGCACTTGTTGGTTCGATGGCACCTTTCCACTATGCCATTCCCCACCAGGAAGTGAGCTCATTGAAAGTGCAGGCAGATGACTCAGCCTTCTGCGAATGTTCTAAATTTGTTCCTACAGAATGCCGCACCATTGTCAGCAAGTAAATCAGTCAGTGGCCCTTCTTCAAAGAATATTGACTCCAGCTGCCAGAGCCCTGTCAAAACAGTGGGCACCAGATGGAGAACTAAGTAAGGCCACAATTGATCAACATGAGGTAGTGTCTGCTGCCACTGTGAGTCACGTCCACTCCTACTCGGCACAAAGTGTCTATTACATCTAGTCACCCAGTCTTCTACTGTTCCGGAGCTGAGTCTATGAACTGACACACAACACATTGTCCCACCACTTACTTGGATATTGCAGGATTGACTGCTCTGTAGGCTCTGCTTCCTTCCATATTGTGTCAAGCCATTGCAGCGGCACCGTGGTGAGATAATTGGCTCAGTTTGAACAAGACCATGTCAATGGTTAGGCCATATTTTTTAGCAAGACCCTCCAGAGTGATGAAATGACGTCTTATTAGCATCTCTGTAGCCGCTTTGATGTGCACTTTCACGCTCCCAGTCAGAGTGTCAGAGATCCACCAGTACATACATGCTGAATCAATTAGCAGTTGCAGCACTGTTGCTTTCCATTGGATAGAGATGTGTGATTTAACCGAGAAACCAACTTTTTTTGGTTTCATCTTCACACCATGAAACCGCATAGAAATTTTTTACAAAATCAAATGATTTCGGTTTCATTTTTATATCACTACTGAGTGACCATATCCAAAGAAACACTATTGAAAAAGACTTTCAGATGTTAATAAGATTAAATTTTATTAACATTTATCCCATTGTAAGAGAAAATGATTGAACAAAAATATGTTAAAAACATTTGACTAGTTTTAAGAAATAAGTGTGAAATCTATTTATTTACAAAAGAAATGAAGAAGAAAAAAAGAAAATACAACATGATGTCTGAAATCTATTTGTTTCAGTTTTCAAAAAAATACTTTTTGCAGTAAAATTCAGTTAACAGAATAGCAAGTAAAAATAAAAAAATATAGTTGTCAGGTTTGTCTTCATATTGAATTTTAAGTCAGGATTTTTGTAAGGGTTTTCTCGCAAGCCATTACGCCAATCACAAAAATAAAGTTGTTATAAATGAGAAAAATGAATGAAGGTGAAGATTTTTTTTTTTTTTATAAATAAAATTTGTTTTTTATCTAGGGAATGCACCTAAATTAGATATTAAAAATAATTAAAATAGTTCTTAATTTCACTTTTAATATGTGTATACTTCCAGATATGTGAGTCTCCGTTTTCTACAAATAAAATTATGTTTCTGTCTAGTGAATACATGTAAAATTAGATATTAAAAAAAATAAAGTAAGTTTTAATCCCCGTTTTAAAATGTGTATATTTTCAAAACTGCAACTCATTTTTTAAACCCAAAGTAAAAATTATTCTTTTTTAGCTACAAGTGTTCAGTGGGTGTTTGTTACTGTTCTGCCTATAAAATTCTTCTAAACAAGGAAAATTAATTCATTTTTTTCAAATATCTTTATGGTTTTATCTGGCAAATAATAATACACTTAAGTAAGATTATATTAAAATGATTAAAATAGTTTTTAATTTCAGTTTTAAAATGTGTATCTACAAAAAGAACAGGTAATACTCGCAGATTTGGAAATCTACACATTCTAAAAATTAAATTAAAAGCTTTTAATTATTTTTAATATTTAATTTTAGGTGTATTTAGGGGAAAAATAACTTATTGATTTTCCTTGTTTAGAAGAAATTTATTTGCAAAACGCCAATAACAGTTGACTGGCGTACCAGAAAAGAATTGCTGTTTTTTTTGCTTACTTTATAATTTTTGAAGGAATTCACTTCCTCAGGTTAGAGAAGAAATGAACATCTTCCTGCTTGTAGTTTAAGTTATCTTCTAATTGAGTGTACAAGTTCAAGAATATTGATAAAGATTGGTCACTTTGATTTTGCAAAACAAAGTAACATGTAAAATTTAGTCTCAAAAAAAAAAATCATTGCCCATTTTCAGCTGGTAGAGGCAATACTGTTTTAACTCACTGTAAAAAATAATTCAACAAATAAAAGCACATACAAATTACATATTTAGAAAGATTATCTTCTTTTCTTTCCAGCCATGAATATTTTTAAGATTGGACCATAAATACATGAGATATTGCGAGTTGAACAGACTAAGTACACCATGCTCCTCCCAATACTTTGGCTTCATTCTTCAACCTCTCAGGGTCCTTGCATGAGAGTCCAAAATTGTTAAAGCACTTCTGGACTTGTTTTGTTAAAACTAGGCTTTGAGTGACATAAACATCGTTGATGTATGCCAACGTGACATGTTTAATCAACTCATCCTGAGCCAATACCACCTCGATTATCAACTGCATTACAAGTGGTGCTACATTCAGCCCAAAATCCAGCCATGTAAGGCAGTACCTAGGCTCCCTCAGAAGTACAGTAAAGAATGGCCACAATCACTTGTGGATATGCCTTTGCAGATAAGCCTTTCTTAAATCTAGAAGCGATATGTTATTCCCCCACTGCTGCCATTCTCTTAATTTGTGCAAACAAACGTCAGCATTCACTGTGAATGTATCAAAATATTTATTCAGCTCCTAGTAGCCAAACCTTTCTTTTGTTCTCTTGAACCACAGCCATCAGTGGAATTAAGCCTTTAGTTGGCCCAAGCTCCTTTATCCAACCAGACTTGCAGTTCATGCTTGCACTCTCATCACACCAAGTTGGACATGGGATATTCTGCTATTGTGTAACACAGCACTGCTGGTTTACTGTGACAAAATTCTACTGTGCCTGGTGGGGTGATTTGTACCCCTCCCATCTCTTATCGCGTTCATCCCAGTCAGCAGGTCATATCCAAGCAGCCTCTCACGAGTCACCAGGATGTCAACCTTGACAGGATTGCCATCATTGACAACCCCAACCCCACAGACATTAGTTTCTCCATTGATGGTTGTTACATGCACAAACCTTCTCGGCACGTCTTTGCTGGCTAATGATCGGGAGCAACTGGAGTCAACCAGCGCCATGCACAGCTTCCCATAAATTTGGACTACTATTACCAGTTGTGTCAAGTTTCTATCTACTCCAGGAAAGAGACTAGCACTATCCTCTATTCCCTGGTCTCATTCTCCAGACAGGTGCATGCCAGGTGACTCATAGTGTGGCACCAAAAATGACATCTCTTGACGTGGTCCCTGCTCATGCAGCCTGCTGCCCTCCTTGGATGTGGTAGCTGTTTGACATCTGAGGCAGTCTTATGCCAGGTTGTTCGGTCCATTACAGGCGTAGCATGTAACGTCAGTATGAAGACAAACAGGGATGTCAAAACTCTTAGTCCATGTCACTTGTGTTGCTGCTGCCACTACCACTGTTGGTTCCAGCGCATTGTCCTTTAGGATCACCTGGGCACACAGCAGCATCTGGTCAATGGACAGCATGTCCATTCTCAACAACA